TGGTACAATGGGCTGCAACCTATTAGCCACCGTGAGGATGGCATGGAGCAGGGTCAGACAGTGATGCACTCCATTGTCTATGGGGTCACTATGAGTCCATCAGAGCCAACTCAACTGCCCCAAACAACAATTCTATGTTAGGCAACTTGCTGTGTGTTGTAAGCATGCACTGTGATGTGTGATCACCTGGAGGAGGAGGCCCATCCCCGTCCCCCACCCATTGTGGAGCAGAAACCAAGGGGTTAAAATGTGGGCTCTGGAACTGACCTGTGTGGCTTCACATCTTAGTGTTCCTGCTTATGAGCCAGATAAACTTGCACACGACTCCATTTCCCCCTCTGTAAAGTGGGGGCCAGGACAGTCATGATAGAGGCAAACTCAAACCAAACTCACTGCCATAGAGGGGGTTCTGACTCTTAGGGACCCTACAGGACCAGTGGAACCCTACATAGGGACCCTACAGGACCACCCCTGTGGGTTTCCAAGACCAAAACTCTTTATGGGAGTAGAAGGTGTTATACTTCTCCCACAGAGCCGCTGGTGGCTTTGAACTGCTGACCTTGTGGTTAGAAGCCCAACACATAGTAAACATAGTAACCCAGTGCTCCTTATGATGACAGAGCACTCAGTCATGAAGATGTAAATGCATGTCAGACACAGAGCTAGCCCGCAGCAGGAAGACGATAAACAAGAGGATTCGTAGTAACTATGGTTGTGGTTATACTTGGCTTTGTTGGATGCTTCTCTCTCATCCTTTATGGAGTGGGGGGAAGTCTGGACCTGGTGGGGCAGGGGGGAGGTCTTCAAGACATCAAGTAGGGCCCCTGCACTCCCTTTCCACAACTGGCCCTGAGAAGCCAACCTCCAAGTCAAAATGGGGCCCCTTTGTGCCTCTCCCCATGCAAGCCACACTGCCAAAGATCTTGCTTTGTGGGAGCCAGGGGAGGGGACAGGAGGGGGAGCCCTGATTTCCTCTGTTCTTGCACAAGCCCCTTGGGAGTGGAGCCCGAGGAAGTACAGGAGATTTTTGGTGTTCCTCCTGCCCTAGGTGAGGCCTTGCGGCCAGTCCCTTCCCATCTGGGAGCCTCTGTTCCTATAGGGAACACTAAGTTGGCTGGTGATCCTGAGAGACCTCCCAGCCCTGCATCCTGTGAGGCCTCCAGAAGCTTACCCCCTCACCCCACCCCAACCTCTGCCCCCCCCCAACCTGGCCCAGCCAGAGCCAGGGGCGAGTTGGCCCAGTCACCATGGGGACTAATCTCCAAGAAGGTCAATGAGGCCTGGGGACTGCCATGGTTGGATGGGGATTAGCACCTGAGTATGAGCCCCCACCGGTGCCACCCACTGCTCCCTGTGCCCCTGCCCAGACCCAGGCCCTGGGCAGCTGCCAAGCCTGGGAGGTCCTCAGGTGGGACCAATGGGGGGGTGGGGCAGGGCAGGTGGTACTACGGCTAGCAGTGTGACCAAGAGAGAAAGGAGGAGGGATGGAGTCAGATCCAAGTTCCTTCCTGCTCACAGTCCCCAGTGCCTGGTCAGGGGCATGGGAACTTCAGGCCTTACTTTCTCCCCTCCTCATATTGTGCCCTTTAATTCAGGGGTGGGTGGGGGTGATGGCCCTCTCAAATCACCCAGCCTGTGGCCCCGATTGTCCCCATTTCCAGTCACTTATTTCCCCTTTTGTGGGTGGTGTCCCTGGGTGGCACAAACAGTTAAATGCCAGGCTACTAATCCAAAGGTTGATGATCTGAGGGGCGTTGGAAGAAAGGCCTGGTGATTGACTTCAGAAAGGTCCCAGCCATGAAAACTGTATGGGGCAGTTCTGCTCTGCACAACACAAGTGTCCCCTTGAGTTAGGATCAGCCAGGAGGCAGCTGGTTGGATGTGGGGTGGGATAGGGGCTGATTTCATGTAGTTGCCCCTCACCCCAAACTGTACCCAACCCCTCCACCTATCTCCCATTGTGTGTGTGTGTGTGTGTGTGTGTCTTGTTTGGTGTCACTCTGGTCTTCAGTCCCTCTGTGTCTCTTGATCTCACTGTCTGGGGGCCTGGAGCCTCCCTGGGACCTAAAACCTCCAAGTGTCTCTCCCACCTCTCTAGACTTCGCTGTTTGTTCATCTGTCCTCTGTTCCTTCCCCCATATCTGTTGCTCTCTGGTGGTGTCCCAGAGCCACCTGTCCCCTCCCCCACCAGGGCATTGACAGGGATGACAGGAAGCAGGCTTGGGCTTTGAGCAAGAGGGGGAGGGGTGTGCCTCGCACACCAGCTGCTGAACACCCACCCCCCCACCCCCAAGCTCAGCACCTGCAGGCCTGCCAGGCGCCTGGAGACTCCGCCCCAGCCAGGCAGGGAAGGAGGGGCCTGGATGGGGCCAGATCCCTGGTCACAGGCAGGAAATGCAGGCCTTGAGGGAGGTGGGGGTGCAGCTCCTGGGGCAGGACTGGGGCTCTTGTCAGTCAGCAGGGCAGACCTCAGTTCACTGAGTGGTTTCACTCTGGTACGTGGTGGTGGTGGTGGGAGACCCTTTACTATGCAGCCCTGGGGTCTAGAATCCTAGCCAGGGAGCTTCCCCTCAAGCCCCCCCCTTGATGGGGGGAGGAGAGCAAAGGACCCCTGGCCCACAGACCACCCCTCTTCAGGCAGGGCTGGTCAGAGGACCCAGGCTCCACCCACCCCTCCACATAGGGCCCAGCTGCAGACAAGCGGGCCTGAGAGCCCTCCCCCTCCCCCTACTTTCTCTCAGCCAAGCATTCAGCTGAGCCTGCGGGCCTGCGGGTAGGGGTGAGGGGTTTCAGCGTGGAGTGGGTGGTGATGGAGGGGACAAGCCAGTGACTCCAGGAACAGGAAGGGACTGTAATTCCTGGCTCTGGCTCCCCTCTTCAGTGGAGGTGGGGAGTGTCTCTGCAGGAGTGTGGGATGCAGTACCCACTCCCTGTGTCCTCCCTCAGGTCCTGGGAGGAGAGGGTAGGGGGACACCTGGAGGCACAGGCCAGGCACTCAGCTCTCCAAGCGAGAGGTCGGGGGTCTGAGTCCTCGGCGTCCTCCCCCACCCCTCAGACCTAGCACTTGGGGTAACTGGAAAGGCTAGGTGGTCTGTCCCAAGTTTGGGTTGTGGCTAATGACCTGGGCCGCTGAGACCTGTCCTGGACTCCCCTTAAGGAGAGGGTGGGGGATGTGGGGCTTCCAGACTGTCCTGCGCTGCTAGGCTCTGTCAGGAAAGGGCTGTCACCCCTTTATTTCTCCATTGAGTCTGCCTGTCTGTAGAAACAGATTCGGTCAGTCTTGGTCCTTGACTACCCCCTCCTCTCCCCATCTAGTGTTTCCACACCAACCAGCTTCTCAGGGCCCCTAGCCAGGCGTCCATCTTCCCAGGGTCAGAGACCCAGAGGAATTGCTAGGAGCCCACGAATCAGGATGGGGGCAGGGGCGCTGGCGCTGGTGGCCAGACCAGCCCCTCGCTCTGCCAGTGAAAAACTGAGAAGAGATTGGGAAACGACTTGTGCAAGGCCACCGAAGTCGCAGGGGATAGAGCCACAGCGCGACCCCCTCCACCCCGTTGGAGCCTGCTGGCCTGGGTTACCCGGAACAGGACTGGCAGCCCAGGCCCAGGGCCCGGCAGCCGGGTGGGGCCGGATGGGAGCCGGATCTCCCTGGGGAGCGGCGCCCGGGGCTTGGGCGACTCGTCTGGCGGCAGCGGCGGCGACGACAGGTGCCTGCGTGGCGGTGCGGCTGGCCCCGGGCGGGTGCTGAGAAGCCGCCCCTGCCTCACGCGAGCCGAACGAACAAAACGCTCAGGTCCGGTTTGTGCGAGGGGCTCGTCGCGGGGCGGGAGCGGAGGGCCCGGGGCCGGGCCGCGGCCCTCGGGGGGCGATCTCCTGGTCCTCCTCGTCGTCCTTGAATGCAGGTGTTGCCCGGCGCTCCGCCGGCCGCTACCCACACCGACACGCATGTGCACGCGTCGGCAGTGACACGTCGGTGGCCGCGGGGGCCAGCCCAGGTGCGCGCCCGTCCCTCCCTCCGTCCCTGCTCCCTCGGCCGGCCCGACCTGGCCCGGCCCAGCAGGGCTGCGTGCCCGGTCCGGGTCCCCGCCCCGGAGCTTGTGCGGCGACTGGAGCTCAGCGCACTCTTATACGGCCGGCCACAGCTCCCGCCCCTGGACGCTCTCGCTCACTCACACCTGTCCCAGCGCGCGTTTGCTGTGGGCAAATATTGACTCAGAGGAGGCGGAGCCCCCCCGCCCCCCTCTTCCGAGGCCTTGGCGAGGGAGGGGGTGTGAGGGGGGTGGCCTGAGACCTGGGCTCCGCTGGAACAACACCAGATGTCGCTTTTCCACCCACCTGCGGGGGCGGGGGCGGGGGCGGCAGGGAGGAGCCTAGCAGTGGAGGACAGAGGGTACCCGGGAGGGAGGCTTGGGGGGATGGGGTGGGCACCCCAGGGAAAGCAAGACAGACCCTGGTATGGGGATTCCGATTCACCTTGGGAGTCCCTTGCAGGGTTAGTGGCCTGCTATTGGGAGGTGGTCTTCAGGCCTTTCGC